CCGGCTCCGCCATGGCACACACCGGGACGCGACAGTCGCCCGCCTCTAGTCGACTCGCCCGGCCCCCTCCAGCGATTTCCGCCCTTTATTGGGCTAACCGCCTGCTAGTCTGCGCCTCACCCCGCCCATACCCTTTGGGTCCGCCTCCCGCCTTTTCACTGGTCACTGCACCCGCCCATCATGCATTCACCACTGAAACCAAGGCGCCAAACATTCCAATCAGTCTAAACGCAATCGGCGTAGGTTTCGATTCGATCCGGCTCACCCATTGGCTGAGCTGCCTCTCTTGCCTTCTCCTAGCCCCGCCCATCAAAGAGATTCTTTTTTCCGGTTGGTGAAGGAGCAGAGCATCCTGGGAATTGCCGGCGGCTAGTCCTCAGGCCGCAGAGGGGAGCGAGGCGGGCTGGAAATTGCTTCCAGAAACAGCGGGCGACACGGGTATCCTCTTCTTTCTATCCCCTGACCACAAGTGGGCGGAGTAATCCCGTTCAACACCGATTCCTCGCAGACACCCCTCCTCACTTGCAGAATCCACACAGTACACAACCTGGACCAAGACTTCAACACCATGCAACTCCCCGAATTACCTCCAACAGCATACACACCCTCCCTCACACCAGACAGCTTCAAGCGCAAAGTCAACGCAACGTACATCCTTGCGACACCCTCCCACAATATAAGCTTAAACACCACTCGCCTCACAAACAACACTTGGAAGGGCAAATACATGTGAAAAACTGGAAACTTAATTCTCCCTGTTGAAAATAAGGTACGTGACTTCTCCCCCTTCCTCCTTTGTCTTTCGGAATTTCTTTCGAAATGTTTGTAAGTCTTGATAATGGCTGAATAAGCCTCTTGCCCGTAAGTCGGGAACTCCAGGACCTGTGAGCAGTCTTTTTTTGAAATGCAAGCGTCAAGAAATAGCTTTCAGCCTCCCGATCTCCGCTCCAGCGGGAGAATGAGCCTAACTTCCTGGGGGCCTTGCTGCAATATACAAAACCACCCCTCATCAAAAACAGATGAAAAGTTTTTCTCCCTTGGATAAAAGCCGATCAATCACCACGATAAAGTTAGGATGAACTATGTGTGACAAAAGGTGCTGTCAAGCCCTCTTACTTGAGGCCTAGTTATTGTTTCTCTTGAAAACGAGGTATGGGTTTTGTTCTTATTGTAATATTGCTCAAAGTGTAATATTAGACCATTTATTTAAGATTTTTCTTATTTCCTAAGGTAAGCTTGTATCGCTACAAACTTCCCTCTTAGAACCGCTTTTGCTGTGTCCCATAGGTTTGGGATGATGGTGTTTTTGTTTTCATTTATCTCTAGGTATCTTGATTTCCTCTTTTATTTTTCTCAGTGATCCATTGGTTGTTTAGTAGCATGTTGCGTAGCTTCCACAAGTTTGTGTTTTTCTGCAGTTTTTTTCCTTGTTGATTTCTAGTCTCATAGCATTGTGATCGGAAGAGAGAGAGGTGGGTCTTTGAAAATTTATCCTGAAAACAGGATAATGGGTTGTACCTGCTTGGCTATATATAAGAGGGTGAGATTTCATTCTGCCTTTGCAATCAGTCTTAGCGGATTGCCTGTGATATGCATTCTGGTTTAATGCCTATTCAATAATAAAACTGTTTTCTGTCCCTACTATCTCTGTGGAGAGGTTTTCTGGGTTGGAAGAAGACTTTGTTTTTTCATTATATTTCCCCAACACACCCACCAATGAATGACATCACATACCTCAGAGGCTACCATATCCTCCACACAACTACAACTCCTGTTCAACGTGCACCCCAGTACAACACAGACACCACCATATTGCCTTCAACTGCATGACCCTGTTGACCTTAAGAATAAAAGTCAGCTATTTTACCAGCAAGAATGGGTTTATTCAGGTATAGCAGAGGAATTGCAATTCAGGACAAGTAAGCTATAGCAAAAAGCCATTGACCAGTCAAACAAAGAAGAATGTGATTTTATAGAGAAAAGGGAGGGTGTTGGGAAGGGTTGTTTTGAATGAAAGTCCATTGGAAAAAAGTGAGAGTTCAGGATAATGATGGTTTCTCATAGCCTGAGTTACTGGGGTAGTAGACTTCTTCTAGGAGATGCAACGTATATCTTTTCCTGTTGGGACCTGTAACTGATGATTCTCTTCTGTCCATGATTCTTCTGTTGGGGTCTTTACTGACAATTCTTCCTGTAATTGATGGCGAGTGGTATACTGTGTGAAAGTTCCCCCCGCTTCTAGCCTTCCGACTCTATTTTGATGAGGTTTCCCTTTATTCATTTTCACACCCCTGACACTTCACACCGTAAATGCCACACCACACTTCACACGTAATACCCACACAGCATACACCCAGTACCACCTGTCTCTCACACATATAACGTTCACATAACTTGTACTTTGCACACCCATCCAATATAGCATCTTGACGACCACCCACATCTCATCCCATCCCTCTCCTCTACCAAATTAATATCCCCCACATGTGGACCCCAACTCAGCCCAGATCCCAAGTCCTCCACGTAGACTCAGCCAAAGGCCAAGATTGAAGGCAGACACCCCCAGCAGGTGGGGCTGTTTCCCAAGAACAGAGGGGACTCCAAGGACCTCCCAGCCCCAGGACACCTTCAGCCACTCTTTGTTGCCAGGCTGGAGATGCAGAGTTTGCACCAAAGTCCTTTCTGCAGCCTTGGGCCCCACTTGGGAGATCACTGCAAACCAGGAGTGACCCTGAGGGTCTGAAACTTCCCTCAAGCCTCCTTCTCCCTAAATCTCACTCCAGAGCTATGCCAAAAGTCTAGCCCCTGCCAAAAAAAAAAAAAAAAAGATCATGGAGTGGGAAGTTGAGAAGCTTTAGAATGTGGCTTTCTTCTGAACAGGTCCCTGCACTGGAAAAAGTCCCAGTCCAAACGGTCTGGGTGCCCTCTGGCTCCTGGCACACAGTAGGCCCTTAATCAGTGCCAAATAATAATAATAGCTAATGTCCGAGTGCCCCCTATGCCACTGTCTTGTGCTTTCCATCTCATGTAAGGCTCATTAAGGTAGCTTGTCCTTATTTTATAGACCAGGAAACTGCAGCACAGAGAGCTTGAGTCTCACAGCCAGGAACAAGTGGAGCTGGGATTCAAATCCAGATAGTGTGCATCCAGAGCACCACGCTGGAGTTAGCACACATCAGTTCCTCATCTTCCCATGAGACTTCCCTGGGTGGTGGATGATCATAGGAGTCGCTCCATTCCCTGATCCCTGAATCTCAGGAATTGCCACAATCCTTCATTCACTCCTCCTTCCCCCACTCATTTCCTGAGTTCCTGATCTTTGCCATCCCCTGGCTGGGTACCAAGGGCACAGAAAAGACCCAGACATGAATTTACCCTCAAGAAGGCAGGATGGTGCGGTGGGTACAGCTCAGTGGTAGAGTGCATGCTTAGCATGCATGAGGTCCTAGGTTCAATCCGCAGTACCTCCATTAAAAATAAAAAACAAACCTAATTATGTCCCGCCAAAGAAGAAAAAAAAAGGATGTTTTTTCACCAGAAGTCATGTGTTCCAGTGCTTCAGGCAGGAAACCATGAATGCAGCAGGCTGGGGAAAGGCAATAGAGAATGGTGGGGACCATGGTGATAGGGAAAGCTTATGTTAGCCGAGGGGTAAGGTGTGGGTGTAAATTCTAAGCTGGATTTAGGATGTTTATTTATTTATTTTATTTTATTTTTGCCCATGTGCCCAAGATGGAAGCCCAAGGAAATGCTGAAGGTTCATTTCCCACTTCCTACACTCCAAACATACCCTATGCAAATATAACAAGAAACACTGCTTTCTTTTCTTTTTCTTAATGGGAAATCAAAGCCACAACAGCGAGGCGGCAGCCCATGGGAGTGGTGAGATCCCTAGGATTGGAGTCACATGAGGACAGAAGTCAAGGCTGAGGGCCCAGGAATAGCAGAGAATTGAATCTAAGCCCCCTGCCCAAAGCTGGGAGCTGTGAAAAGGCTGTCTCCTCTGGGCACGGAAGACAGAGGGAAAAATAATCCATTCACAGACTTTGGAATGCAGTTTGGAAAAAGTTACTGCAGGAAATTAGAATTCCTCATGGTCACCAGAGTGTGGGCTTGGATTCAGACCAGACCTCTGAGGCAAAAGCCTGCTCTGAGAAACTCATGAATAAAAGGGTCAGAACCCCCTGTAGTATGTAAGACTGTGGCAGAAGCCAAATCAGGCTGGCACTAGGAGATGTGAGTGGGGCCCAAGAAACTCACGGGACTCCTACAGGAGAAACACAGATAAGTCAAAGAATCCTTCCATGGTGACATTGCCATGGGAGAATTCAGCCCATTGTACAGATGACAGTAACCACACCCTACCTCCTCCCTAATGCTATTTTATAACTGGGAAAACTGAGGGTCCCTGAGTTAAGTAAGTAGCCTAAAGTAAGTTAGCAATTAAAGTATTTAATTTCTCTGTGCCTCAGTCTTCTCAGCTATAAGGTGATAATAATTTAAGCATACCTTCCTCATAGGATTGTCATAAAGATAAAATGAGATGCTACTTGTAAAGCATTTATTAGAATTTATTAGAATGCCCATTTTAAAGGTTCAGAGATGAAGAAGAAACAGAGTCTTTAAAACAAACACAGGACATTATGTAGAAAGAACTGGAACATTAAGAAAAGGAATGCTAGAAATAAAAACGTAGGTACTGAAAAAATCTAGGCAGTCTTACAGAGAGCATGGAAACTTCTGGAGCAGGAGAGGGACGTGGGTTTCAGGTAGCAGTCCTGGGTTTCGGAAGAGTACTGGAGTTGGGGAGACCAGGCAGAAGACACCAGGACTATCCACCTCAGGTGACTGATTCTGCCTGTGCCTGTGACAGGAGTTTGTGGTGGCGCTTGCTACGTAATGGTTTCAGGGCCTGGGGACTTTTAGCTCTGAAAGTCTTTGTGTTCCTGGTTTATATCATAGGCAGCTTATCAGGTAGTAGGCACAAGGGCTAGAATTGCAGCCAGATTTTGAGATTCACTTCCAGCTCTGTGAAGTGCTTGTTGTATGACCTTAGACCTGTTACTTGGCCTCTCTGGCACTTGGTTTTCCATCTACAAAACTGCACCTAGGAAGAGAGTGTCAAGAATGATATAGACTCTGGAATTAGACTGCCAGAGGTCAAGTTCTGACCCCAACAATTATTAGGTAGGCAAGCCTTGGGCATGTTATTTAGCATCTCTGCCTCAGATGTTAAATCCTCTTCCATGAAATAGGGTTGTTTGTGAAGATCACGTAAACTAATATACATAAAATACATAAAATATACATAAAATACTTTGATACAATCCTGGCACATAAGAGCTCAGTAACCTTTGAGGTTATGGTAAGATTAAATATGTTCATTGATGTTAGAACTTAGTAGATGCTCAGTAAATGGCAGTGATGGCTGCCAATTCCTGGATTGCTTTCTCTTCACTGGGAGCCCCACATACAACTGCTAAATGAACAATAATTGAATGACTGTATGGTGGGAATGGCAGGCAAGCGAGGAAAATGAGTGCAGACCAAGCCACAGGAGGGTAAAGGCCCTGTGGTACCCGAGATGCAGCTCTCCCTCCTCTGCTGGCTAGGGAAGGGATGGGAGTACAGCCATCCTCACCTTCCCTTCCCCTCCCATACAGGGCACTACATCACAAGATTGGAAGAGCTCACTGAGTTTATCTGGGAAGTGCAAAGTGGGTCAAAGCTTCACTTGTGTACACACACATGGGTAGACATCCTGAGTAACACTGCTCCAGAGGCCGACACCATCTGCTTGGGGTCCCGGATTTCAGAGTCTGGTGAGGATCTCAGGGGCCTGAGGAAGCCCAGGCTATATGGAGAAAATGGTGATGGGGAGGGGTCCAGGAGCCTGAGCATCAGCCTTGGAAACCCTTTCCCTTCCCCCTTCCTGAGAACCAGAATCTCACTTCCATCCCTGCTTTTCTCCTTCCTTCTTTCCCATCCTTAGAGGGCAGTTCCCAGCTCACCTGGAGGGAATCACCTAGTGCTCCAGGTGCCCATGCGGCCCCCTCCTCCCCATGCTGGTTCTGGCCCATCAGGATTATCCATGTTCTCATAAGAGTCTGCATCTGGTTAGGACCAGGAAGGAGTAAGATGAGGTAGCAGAAAGTAGGCTGGGAGGGAGTAAGTCTCCGAGGACAACAGGATACAGCTGGAGAAGCACCCACCTTCCTCATGATTGGGACCAGGCTGGGCTCGAACGAAGCGGAGCTGGGGGGCTGCATACAGGATCCCTCTCATATCCTCATAGGACTGGGACCCTGCTTGGGCAGGGGATGGAGAGTTGGAGGCCTGGAGCCATACTAGGGGCTTAGGGAAGGGAAGGGCAGCCAAAGATATGATGGGAGAATTAGGGGCAGAGGAAGGTAGAAGGTTGACCAATATTGTACGAGGAAGGAGTGAGGTTCGGGGCCCTTGTTAGTTGTAGGGTCTGATCAGGCGTGGGTTAGATTATGGTCATGGTCAGAGAAAGGGTCAAGAACGGCACTGGAAGGAGTCAAAGTCTGAGTTGCGAGGAGGTTGTAGAGAGAGCTGGGATTGAAGCTGAGATCTGCATTGGGGCTGGGATGAGCTGGAGGACAAATTCCAGTCTGGACTTGGATTGGGATCAGGGCTGATGATGGTGAGGGATGGGGTAAATACTGGGGGTCAGGATGGGTATTGGGGGTCAGTATTGAGATTAGAGTTAGGAGTCAAATCTAAGGTTAGGATTGGACTTGGGTTTGGGATCAGAGCCAAGGTTAAGGTTAGGCCTGAAGTCAGGGCCAAGGCCACATCAACACAGTCTGGACAAAACAGGAAGGTCCCAAGGACTTCTCACCAAGGGAGGTTGCCTCCCTGCTGGGGTCCCAGGCTGACCCATGGGGGCTCAGGAAGTCTGGAGAAGGAAGGAGGAAGTCACTACACCTCCTGGCCTTCCCATCACATTCCCCCACCACCACCACCACCTACCCATCCCTGCAGGAATGTGACCATCTTCAAACACACCTGTTGTCCTGGCAACTGGCTGGGGGAGCTCTTCATCCTCATTCTCATAAGACTCAGCTGCTGCAGAAAAAAGAGAACTCCAGGGACCACTCCTGCCCTGTAGGGGATCCATGGTCCTGTGGGTCCTCCCGAGTCTCTGAGGCCCCACAAGGACCCCAAATTACCATTGGAGAAGGAGTCTTCATCCTCAGGATTCTCATAGCCACTGCCATCTGGTGGAGAAGGAGGGAGATCTAGCGGGGGCCCGCAGCCCACCGCAGAGAAAGTGAGGGAGCCAATGGGGGAGGGCAGTCTTACCCTGGGAGAGGTGGTCCTGCCCACGGTTAGAGTCATTCTCATAGAACTCGGAGCCCTCCTCACTGTCCGGCTCCTCATAAGCCTCCCCTTCCTCTTCTTCTGGGCCTGGGGTTTGGGGATGGGGATGGGGATCAGGTCACGGCCCACCTCCTCCAGGCCCCAGTCCACTATTCCCGCCACAGACCCCTCCAGCACCCTCCATGTGAGTATCGATCCCCGCTCAGTCACCGCCTCCTGGAGGGCTCCAGGACCCCGCGGCTCTGGCCTCCTGGACGTCGCTGTGCGGGTTTCCGTAGGACTGCCCGGCGGCTCCCAGGCCCGCAGCCCACCGCAGGGCGCGTCCTGGCGAGAGGAGCGTTGGAGCGAGGCGGGTGAGAAGAGATGGGGGCGGTCAGGGCTACGGGCCGAGGATGCTTCAGGCTCTGTTGGAGGACTCCGGGTCCAGGTACCCAGCCTCGAGACGGGATGGGGGAGGTGGGGGTAGCGAGACAGGGGCGGGATCTAAATCTAGAGGTGTGGCCTGAAGTCTTGGGCGAGGTTCTGCTCTCAGAGAAGGACCTCAGGTCCGGAGTCCTGGGAACGGGGTTAAAATCTGGGCGGGATTCCGCACCCTGGGGCGGGCTCTTTTCTGAAGGCGGGGCTCGGAGCTTGGGAAGGCTTGGAGCTCTGGGAACTGGAAGGATGAGGAAAATGGGTGGGACTCTAGCTCTGGGTCAGGAGCCTGGCGGTGCCTCCTACCCGTGCCAGAGTGGGGCGCGGAGAGGGAGAGCATGTTCCCGTACTGGCTCTGGGCCCCGTTTCCCGTGGGAGGCGACACTTTGTAGAACCTGGGGAACGAAGGGGAGTTGCACTGTGAGGCCAGGCCTGGAGGGACTGGAGGGGACACTCAAAATTCAGGCTAGACCCTCAGAGGTTAAAATGTGGTCACTTGTAATTAGCGCCTCTGTTCTGCCACAGTCTACAGAGGGGTGTGCCATTACGCCAAGGAATACTTCACAGAGTAGGTAGCTTTGGTGCTGGACTTTGAAGGTTAGGCAGTATTTCAACCGTAGGGATGGAGAAAAGACACTCTCAGCAGAGGCAACAGTAAACGCAAAGCATAAAGTGAAGGGGAGCTGGGAGGGCACTGGCATCATTACCTTCTGGTGGGGTCCGTCATTCTCTTTCTTTTCCTCCTCAGGATCAGGGCTGGTGGGAGTTAAGGGGAGTGATCAGAGGAGAAGCTCAAGAGTGAAGATTTAGGGGATGCTGGGGAAGTCACTTGAGTCAATGGAGGAGACAGAAGTTCCAATTCCAAAGGGCTCGAGTAGTTTGCGGGGGTTAGAGATGGAGTGGGGGCAGAATTCTGAGGTCCATGAGGGAGGTGAGGGAGGAGAGAAAGATGGTTGTCAGAGTGACCAGTGAGGGCTCTCCTGAGGAAGGAGACCTAAGGATCTGGAAGACCAGCTGGGGGACATGACTCACCTCTTCGAAGATGAAGAAAGCCCACCAGGGAACCCAGGCAGAAGATCAGATAAGCTAGCGTCACAACAGGGACTATCCAGCCACCAGTCTCCAGCAGCCAGTGCCATACTGCTAGGGGAAAAGCGCTATGAGATGGAGACCCGGGCTGGCATCTTGCTTCCCAGCCTCAAGACCTCAAAGGCCCATAAGTCTGGGGAACAGGGGCAAGACATAGATCCTCAGTGTCTCAAGCTATAAGGAGGGCCTTCCTCCCTCCCTGTGAAGACAGGGACTGTGCCCCAGAGCCTAGCATAAAGCCTGGAGCAGCATCTATTAAGTAAACCACCAACAAACTATGACTATAGTCAGAGGTTATGTTCAGATTAAGGGGAGCGTGATGATCAGCTTCCTGCTGCAGTTAAGGCCAGCCATGGTCAATATGAAGGGCAGAGTTCAGTTCTCAAGGTTAAAGGTGAGATGCGGCAATGTGCTAAAGTTTGGAGAGAAAGTTCAGACTGAGCTGGAGAATTGTGGTTACCACTGTAACCACATGGTGGGATTGAATTAAGGGAGATAGAATGGGCAGAAAGTTGTAACCAATTTGATGGATGGGTGAGAAAAAAGAAGGATGCCCAGGTTCCTGGCTGGCACACGTGGGCAGATGGTAGTGTCCTTCACTTACACAGGGCCACCCGGAAGACTGTGCCTGGGGAGGATGTCAAGTTTGATTTTGTACATATTGAGCCTGTGGTGTCAGTGGGACATCAAATGGCAACTCCAGGAGATGGCTGGGTGTGGGGCTCACCAAGGCATGGTGGCCTAAGGAGCCATGGGAGTCAAGGAGGTCAAACAGGAGTGTGTAGACAAGGATGAGAAAATATAGACAAGGTTAAAAAGAGGGCTCAGGGCTCCAACAGTGAGGCGTGAGGGAGGAAGTACTCTCCCAGAGTCGATGGGAAGGAGCGACCTAGTGGGAGCAGAAGAGTCGTGTGTTGGAAGCAAGGAGGAAGGAGTTGGAGCCAGTGGTCAGTGTAGAGGTTGGGGTTCCAGATGAGGCTTGGACTAGCCCTCAGGTTGGATTGGGGGGCCAAGATTGCCTGACTTCCCATTCTTCCCAGTGGCCCCAGTCAGATGCCCCACAATTGGAAGAAACTCTACCTGACTGGGTAGTGACCTTCAGCCGCATCTGGGTGGTCATGTTGCCATGGTTACAATGATAGGTGCCAGCATCTTGAGCTGTGGCCTCGGGCAGCACTAGAACAGCCTTTCCTCCAGGGGTGCCCAGGACCCACCTCTCTCTGGATTGGGCATCCTCCCTCACTTTTAAGCTCAGCAATGGGATTCTACGCTTGTTGGGATGCACGTAGATCCAGGAGACGGAGCCTCTGGCCAGAGAGGAACGGGACGCCCCACAGGTCAGCGAGAGTGTGGAGCCAGGGGCCACGGTGAGGTCTGGGGCAGGGAGAGCCAAGGCTAAGAAAGTGTAATATGTGAGGGGGTCTCCTCCCTCACAGACTGTCCAGTTCCCAGTCACCATCCCCCCACTTCCTGGCATCTCCCTAGCACCTTACCCTGGTTATTGCTCTGGTTCAAACTGCCATTAGGTGGGGCACATGCAGGGTCTGTGTATAAGATCTCAGGGTGATCCTTGACCCACACATACAGCTGAGGCCTTGTAGGGTGACCAGAAGAGGGCCTGCTGCCCTTTGAGGGACTGTTCTCCGGGTCACAGCTTGGGTCATTGAGGTCTGAAGCATTCCACCGGAACATTTCCCCTGGGAAGATACCCAGAACCAGATACAGAGACATCCAGGAGAGACAGAGAGATACAGAGACCCAGAAAGGCAGAGACAAAGACCCAGAGAGAGACAGAAACGGTGACTCAGAGAGAAAGAGTGGAAGACACAGAGCAGCTCAGGGTTGACGTCATGAAGCCGCAGTAGTTTTTAGAAGCCACCTAAAACTGGCTCCCAGTTTGTCCCTCCGACCCTCCAGGCCCTCCCTCCAGATCCATTTTAGCTGCCAGAGCCCCTCCACCCATAGTGGGCCTCCCTCCTCTCATCCAGCCCTCCCTGCCCCAGCCCGGACCTCACCGCTGCCCTTCACGCTGACCGTCCAGCCAGGCTGCCAGGCCTGCTCAGAAGGGGGGCCTGGTTGGCACAGGTAGAAGCCCCCCATCTGGTCGGAGACATTGAAGATGAACAGCAGGGTTCCCTGGGGCTCCTTCAGGGTACCCAGAGGCCCCACATGGACGCCCAGGCCTGGTAACCCTAGGCTCAGCTCTAGGAAGGGTTTTGACTGGGGCCCCTGAAACCAGGCCAGTTGCTCAGTGGGACCATCTGTGGGACCTCCAAGGCACGACAGCACAGCATTGCCTCCCTCTGTGGAGAGAGAGAAGAACGGACAGGAGGAGAGAGGAGTCTCTAGGCCCCTTCACTCTTTGCACAGGGTTATAAACCCAATAACCCCACCATCTGGGAGTGGATGAGTCCTCAGATTCCTTTCAATCCCTCTCTGAATTTTACAAATAAGAAAATGGAGGCTCAGAGAGGGTAAGTTACTTGGCCGAGGGCACCCAGCCGGAACCCAGGTTTCCAGCCCTTCCGTCTACCTCTGCCCTCTGGACATACCTTTAACCTCCACTAGGTGTGGTTCCCGGGCCCTGATTCCCGCGGGGACAAGGAAGAGCGCGAGGAAGAGGAGGAGAGGAGATGGCATGGTGATCAGACTCCCTGGGGCGCCCAGCCTCGCGCGCGGGGGATGCTGGGGTAGGCGGGAACCTGGTGGGCACTGAACCATGGGCGTCTGTGGGGGCGGGTGGGCAGTCCCCCCGAGAGGAAGGGGTGGTCACGCCTCAGGCGCTTTCTCCATGCACCCCTCCAGAACCACAAAACTCGCCTCCTCCCTGCTACACTTTTATTTTCATCCCAGCATTTGTCATGTGAAATGATCTTATTTGCATGTCTACTTACTTGCTGGCTTTCTGTTCCCCTCATTTGACTGTAAGCCCCTTGCGGCAGAGACTTCACCCTGTTCATGACTGTACACACAGTGCCCTGGAACAGTGGTTGGCACATTGTAGGCACCCAAGAAATCTTTGTTGAATGAGTGTCCTCTCTCCTCCTCCTACATGCCCCCGCCACCCTTCAACCTCAGGCTCTGAATTCACTTCCCTTCACACATGGCCTCTTCATTCATTCAACTGACATTTCCTAGGCTTTCTTCCATCTCCATACTCCCAGCCTATCACACATACGGCAGACCTGAGTCTGAATCCTCCACCTCCACCATTTGGCTAAATGTCTTCATCTCTCTTAGCCTTAGTTTCTTTCTCTGTAAACTGGGGATAAGAATAGTACTATCAAAATAGCTTCTGTGGAGATTAAACAGGGCAATACATGTTCGGCATTTTCCACCCAGCACAGCACACAGCAAGATCTGAGAGACAGCATCCATGAATGGCTACTGGCTCAAGCCATTCTGCTGCTCCAGCTGAATGAAGCCTCCTCAAAGGGCAGAGTGGTGCCTGAGATCACACATTGGGCTGGGGGTACAACCGGGCACTAGAATCCAGGAGTCTTAACTCTTAAAGTTAACTCTGTTCTTTTGCCAAACACCCCCTATCTCTCTCTCTCTTCGCCTCTCCCTGCCTCTGCCTGTGAATCTCTGTGTTACTGCTGCCATCACTCAGGGAAAAGGGCCAGGGACCCAGGAGACCTGCTCTCTCAGTTGCTGGTTCCCAGGCCAGTCTCACTGAGCTGTGACTTCCTGTTTGCCTCGGGCAAACCCCAGGGGACCCCTCCCCCCAGCTGGCAGGGCCCTCACTTCTCTTTGGTCAGGTTGGGTTGGCTGGGAGGGGGTAGAGTGGGGCATCAGGGGAATGGAACGGGCAAGGGGGCAGGACCCCATCTGCCTTTCACTCAACAAAATCTCTCCAATCCCGTTCACCAGTTTCCCAGCTGCCTCACATGCTGAGTCTTCTTGCTGGAGTGTGTCAGCCCCCAACTTAGAACATTGCAACCACTTTCATCTATGTCAAAGTAAACACTCCATACCATGGCCTCCAAGGGCCTGAGGGAAGCTGCCCCTGACGACATTTCCCACCTCAGCCCTCTGCCACTCTGCCCCAGCTCAGGGCCTTTGCACTTGCTGCTCTTCTTCCTGGATCTCTCTACTCGGCTCTTCGCTCCACTGGCTCCTTGCTGTGGCTCAAGCCTCAGTTCAAATGTTACTTCCTCAGAGAGTCCTTCCCTGACCCACCAGGTACTTTGAATCTTATACCCCTGTTTTATTTCCCTCCTAGCATTTGCCCCCATCCTAAAGTCGGCCTGCTTACTTGTTAGTTTGTCTCCTGCCCTAGAATATTCACTCTGCTACAACAGGACTCCTTACTATCTGGCTCGCTGACATCCAGTAGGTGCTCAATAAGTATTTGTCATACAAAGGAAAGAAGTTAGTTATGGTTACCCAAGGGGAAAGGGGAGGGGGATAAATTAGGAGTATGGGATTAACAGATACAAACATACATAAAATAGATAAGCAACAAGGATTTACTGTATAACACGGGGAACTATATTTAATATCTTATAATAACCTGTAATGGAAAATAATCTGAAAAAACCCATATATATATGGGCTATATATATATATATATATATATATATATATATATATATATATATATAAATCACTTACTTCGTACGTACTAACTTACGTAAACTAAACTAACTAACTAGTAAGTTAACTAACTTAACTAAGTTGGTACGGGTAGGTAGGTCGGGCGGACGAGGAGA